AAATACACAAGCATAAGAATAACACCCCCAGCATTGGTAGGAGAAGTCTAAGACCATGATAACCTTTTATCCCATGTTTGAAGGCAACTGGAGATGGATGCTCATGAAATCATGAGTCCTAACAGAAAGTATTGGTCAAAACCCAGAAGAATCATTATCTTGTGTTCCTAATTTTGTAGCAAGCAAAAGAAAAAGAGAGATTTGTAAAGCAACAGGACTGCCTATGCAGCAAAATGAAGATGTGATTGTAACACACACTGGCATGAAGGGCTAGTTAGCATACAGGACTGGTAGTGCATACTAGCCCCAGATTACAAACTATAGGGACTAACAGTACATAACCTGGTCACTAGCCCTTGTGAGGCTGCTGCTCCACTGTGTTTGTGGCTTGCTAACAGCCAGACTGAGAGACCACATATTTGCTAGCAGGTATTATCATTGTGCCTTTATTTTCCATATCTCTGTGGCCTTCTCTCACAGATCTAGTGCACAGGGCCAAAAATATGGGAATTCAAAGTAATTATGGAAGTTATTTAAAGGTTAAGTGGTAACATCAGGGTGGTTCATTGGTTCAGACAGGCTTAAAATAAGGTATTAAACGGTATCTGGAGACCTTTCACTAGAAAGCAATAGCCAAATTGTGATAAGATCCCAGCTTCTATTAAAGTGCCTAGAACTGAAGCCTCTAAGGAAAGCCACAGCTTAACAGACACTTGATGCAGACTGGAGGCCAATCTGGGAGATCCAGTTGTAGGATTGAGGTCCTCAGCAATGGGGACAATTTCTTGGAGGGGCTCAATACTCAGGAGCTACCACTGCTCTGAAAACCCAGCCCTGAGCCTGTAGCTGCTTTCTAAGGCCACCCAGTCACTAGGAAAGCTTGGCAGTGAGAAAAGGAAGGAGGGGTTCCTGCAAAACATAAGTGCCCTTGATAAATGGCATTGCATTTGCAAGGGGGCATCCTCCACAGTCAGATGATCCTGTTTTCCTGGGCAACATACTGGGCATTTGGCAAAGGGAGGTGAAGAACATGGGAGTCTTCTAGTCAAGTGAAGGAAATCTCTCTCCTTTGTCTTTCCAGTCCCCTCTCCTTTCCAGGGGAGAGGGCAGTGGAAGGGTTGGGATGCATGAGGGGTGGCCAGGGGAGGAGAAGGGCATGAGGTGCAATGGAAACAGAGAAGTAGGAGCATAAGGGATGATAGAAGGAGCCATCGGGGTAGTAGAAAATGGAACAATGAATGCAAGAGAGTCGCTTCAGGCTGCCAGGGGCAGAGCGAAGGAGATCTTTCACCCACAGGGTGGACTCTGCAAGGCACGTGAAGGCCCCCTGCCTTGCAGTCACTTTAAGCTCATCAGGGGACCTGCCCAACATACAAAGCTATAGCTAGAGCAAAACAAATGACAGATACTTCGGGTTGATGCCTAAGTAAAAAAGAAACGAAAGACAAAAAGAAGGGAGGGGGAGGAGGGGAGGGAATGGTCAAGGTTGAATTGAAACCGAGTATTTGTGGGGGGGGGTTCAATTAAACTTAACCACTCCCCCTCCTCCAAATTTTATATCCAATCAAACAAAAAAAACAAACAAAAAAGGTCTACTTAACCCCCCAAAAATTATGCTGCTGTGTTTTCATGTTATGTATTCCATTTTCGCCTTTAGTTAAATTTTTTTTTTTTTTTTTCCAACAAGGAAGTGCCATTTTGGAACAACACAAGAAAGGATTTTTGTTTGGTTTGTTTTCATTTAGTGTCAAACACTCCTGGTATTTCCAAAATGAAACCATTCATTTAAAAGTGACAAAACAACAGGTTTCAACATAAATAAATAAAGCCCTCCATTTTTATCTATCACTTGGTCATCATTATTCAAAACAGTGCCCCTAGAATAAGTGAACACCAGAACTGGTAAAATGTGTGTGCCTACGCGTGGGTGGGAAGAGGAGAGAGCCAGTGGAAAAAGTTTTTCATGCACAATTCATCGTTACATTTTGTCAACAAGCTGTATTGTTGCCAGCAAGCCTATAGTTGAGAGATGGAAACAAAATGTTCTGTGGTTCACTTTTTGAATAATCCACCTGCAAGCTGTAAAAATACAATAGCTTTTCAAAATTTAAATCTGAAGCTGAAGATTCTCTTTATCCCTTAGATAAAGTCCTTGATCCAATATTAATGTCACTCAGGTTGATACAGTCTCCTTTCAAAGGACAGACTACAAAGTGAAATGTAGGTGCTTGGGAAATGCATTTCCCCCATTGTACATTTTTTTTTAAACAGCAAAAATTCCATTCCGCAATGTTTTAGGGTTTTATGAAGAAACATTTTTTTTTTCTAATTTTTGCTAAAAATTACAAATATTTAGTTTTTAGGTGTTTGGAATGAGCCTCCACTTTTGAAAGAAATGGGCTTTTCCCATGCATCTTTTCTTTTCCTCCTGTTTTATGTTGGCTAGATTCAATCTGCACTGGGTATCTTGAGGCCATCACCATGACTGGCTGCCTAGATGCATTTGAGTGTAAATATTTGAAAGAAAATTAGTGGGAAAGCACAGCTGGAACCTGAAGATTATTCCATATTCAAGAAGCAGCTCTCCATTTCAATCATAATATGAATAGGTATAAGTTGTATAAAGATAATATACATCAAGCATAAAACTAAGAAAGTAGCGTGGTATATAACATGGTATATATAAAGAGGATAAAGAACCTCTTCCAAAAATCAGCATCAATCTTAGCTGGAAAGGATTCAAACATTAAACAGTTCCAACCATTTCCAAAATGTCGTATCTGAAACCTTGCAAGGAACAATGTTTCCAACTATTTTGTTGATCTAATAAAAGATATCACATTTGCCCAACAAACCTGGTCAACCATTTCCAAAAAAACACTCTCGGAGCACTACCTATGCATTTCATACTATCCCTGATTTCAAAGTTACTGTCATTAAAATGCTACAACTGAGAAATGAATGATATCCAATACGTTGATATTGAGATAAGAAACTATAGGTAGCTGTTGCATTATGCGACTCAAGAGACTGCCTGTGGGTTGAAACAGCTAGCGGTATACAGCTGACTTGGTGGAGATATCTGTTCAGGGCCTATATGTGTAGGCAATTTGGAAAGAATAAGAATCAGATTATTTATTAATTACAGAATGTGTAAGCTCACATGTGCTTTGGATGATATGTATGCCAACTGAAGGTACCTCCTAGAGCTGAGCATAATATAATCTCTTGGTCTCTTGGACATTGGAAAATGTAATAATCATTTGTTAAAGCCATCTATTAACCCTTTATACATTATTTTAAAATTCATCATTAAACTACAGAGTATGATTAAGTGGCTACACTACATAAGGGTCATCAGTAAGCTAAGCAAACAAACGAGAGATGTTCTGGAAGTGTGTGGGAGAGGGAAATCAACTAAAATATATATAATTTAATAGAAGTCTGGGCTTCTAATGTAGCTCATTATCTTAACCTTCATCAAGCAAGGATAGTGGTACTGATAAAAAACTTTTATCACCATTTAGTGCTGATAAAATCTATGGCAGAGTCATTCTTCTTAGAAATGTTATTGAGACAGTCAAATCGAGAAGGGCTCGGGGAAGAAAAGCGATACATTGGAACCCCACTGTCTTGCTTCCTGGTCTTTTACGTACTACCTCTTGCATCGGAAAATCGTCCAAACACATGCAAGAAGACCACCTTTTTCTGCAGTGGTTTAAAAATGGGCTCTCCTGCTTTTCTACCCTTTGGCATCTAGTCAAAATAGGTATGGCCATGCTTACTTATCTGAAGGCAGGGGAAAGACCACTAGATTTCTAGTGAAACCACTTCTCATTCAGTGATGAAGGGGGGACTCTCTCATCTCATTGCCCTCCTTACACTGTTCCAGCAAGAGGCTTTGGAAAACCCTGTCCTTTGTTGCTCTGTCTAGCAGCAGTAAGGGTGCTGCTTCTCAAGCAAATGCTAATTTGCAATAGGTTTCTATGAGCACTGACGGTACAGGAGATGCAATATAAATTGCTCGCTTGTAAAACCTAGATCGATTGCTAGAGGTGAGAATTTCAAAAGCCCAAACAAGCATCTCAAGCTGCATATATCCCCCACTCCCATCCAATACACTCCCCCATACAAATGCATTCTCTTAGGCCACTTCCTCTGATCCCTTCTTGGCTTCTTTCATATAGAAAGAGGCTTGTGATGTCCTGTATTTGTGGAGGTGGGGGTTGTGATTTCTTAATCTGTGCTCACTTCTCTGTCAAGTATTTAACTTCATTGATCCAGCTCTTTGGGGGACATATTAAACTGTGTACATTGCATTTTTGCTTTAAAAAAGGAAAAACTCAAAAGTTCATGGCACGGCATTATGCAGTAGAGTTTATCAAAAAAAACAAATCTGAGAAAGATGAATCCCCAAATTTCAATGCTGTTGTTAAAGTTACATATTCAACCTGGGAATACGATTGCCATTAAAAAGGCAATTTTACTGGCAATTACCACACGGTGGAGTCTGGAATAGTGTGCTTGTTAGCAAATGCTGACATTTTAGAAGTAATCACTGTAATAGGTCAAAAGTATCAAGAAATCAGGAGATTTAGTATTTGTGGGGGGTTAAGAACTGTGCTAAGGAAAGATAAGAACCTCAGCGAAGTCAATGGCAAAACTTCCACTGAACTCAAAGGCAGGTGGAGCAGACCCTAATTTAACAAATCTCTGGTGACAAAATGCCCTCGATTTCTTTGCCCAACTTTGCAATGCCTCCTTGGGTCACCTTCAGGGTGATGAGTTGCAGGGATTACTTGCATAGCTAAATGATGCCAAAAAGGGCTCGGTGTCTTGCTGCTAAACTTTCATGAACGTGCAAGTTTGTACATGAACGTGCGTTTGTCATGTGCACGGGACTGGCGACTTCCCGACTCTTACTTAACCACATTCATATCGTGCCACATAGCAGAGGAGGCAAATAAAGTCTGCTCAGAGCTTTCAGAGCCATTACTTACAGTAGACATCCACTCGTATTGACTTTATAGCTGGCGAACCCAAGCCATTTTCCGCCTTACAGTAGTAGCGGCCTCCTTGATGGCGCTGGATATTGGTAATCCTCAGAGTTTCGTTGAAGACACTTGAGTCTTGAAATCTGTCAGAGGCACTTCCTGCTGTTTTGGTCCACCTGATCTGAGCAAGCATCAAAAAAGAGTTGTTACTTTAGTTTGGTTGGTTGTAAAAGAGGAACACAGTATAACTAAATACAGGGGGACTCCTACCAGCCCATGTCCTGAGAGAACATGTTGTACTACTGATATGGGACTTCCTTCTAAATCAAATTAACTGTACCCACACATAATCAGACACTAAACCATAGTACATTGCAACCATGTTCCTTTAGCAACGCTATATTTGCAGTAACCAATTACCTGAGATGGAAATAATTCTCAAGAATATAAATGTCTGCAGTGAGGATGTATGTCTGTAGTGACTCAACCAACCATCACTAACGCATGAGTTTAAATAGCTGCAGAAAAATCCTCTCTGAGCAAAAATACACAGAGCACATCAGGATTCACTCTTTGCTCTTCCTTTTAAAATGGCAGCAATCTATTTTTAAAGTTTTATCTAGGTTTACACACAAAATCATCTCAATGAGCCAACAGTGGTAGCATGTAATGGCCTATACTGAAGTCAGAGTTATGCCACGGCACAAATTTCTATTAGGAAACATCTTAAAATTAATGCCGGTTGTGTGTGCACGTGTCTTTCTTTTTATATATAATCCAAGTAGCTTCTTGCAATTTCAAACAGCTTTGTACTTTTTTCTTTAATGGTTTAACACTTTTTTTTTCTTTTACAATAATTATAAATTCCTTTACTCCAATAAATGTTTTCCAAAAATGTGCAAACTTTCCAGAGTGAACATTTCTAGAAAAAAAAGTGACAATACAGTCGGGATGTCTAAAACTATCTCTCTCACAAACAATAGCATTCTCTGAAACAGCTGTGCAAAAGAGAATCAGCTCTGGTAGTGAAATAAGCAGCCACTATGGTATGTTTCAGTTAAAAATTTATACAATTGGATGAAAGCTGTGTTGAAAAATATCAAAGCAACTTGAAAGAGCTAAACCTTAGAGTGAAAAAAATGGACATAGTGTTGGAAACACATCCCATGCCATCACTCAGGTTTGTCACCACCCGACTCCACTAACTTCACAGAAATATTTCACTCCTAGAACTGTTGAGAGCTGCCCCAGCCACTTGTGCATAACTTTCCCACCTCATGTTCAACAGAGATGCAAAGTCTACGTTGGAATTGCCCACAGAAACATGCGGCTTTTTGCCAAATGCAGACCTCAGACAAAAACCCCTTCGGGGAAAAATAAAAGGCCTCAAATAGTTTTCTCCCTCGCTGAGTCTCCAGCTACCTCTGTGGCTGTTAAAGGGAATCCTTTTTCGACTAACCTCAAATTGAAAAAAAATAAAGTACTGTCCTTGCAATAGTGTCCTTGTCCTCATGCTTTACCTGTGGCAAGTCAGAGGGTGCTTTTGATGTTTCTGGCATTATGCCTGGTACTTGCATGTGAAGGTTTGCTCCCAAAGATTTGAAGACTAGGTTAGGCAAACACCTGTCTAGGATGATTTTGACAGGGATGATTTTACTTTCAGCACAAGGTTTAACTAGAATCTAGATGACCTCCGGAGGGACCTACTTTCCTACTATTCTTAGGGACAGGAGCAATGCATTTACAATGGTAATGAAGACACTGCAAACAGCTAAGAACAACATCCTGCTGGGAGCAATGCTAATACGATTACAGTTTGTTTGCTGGTAAAACCTGGAACGGTGGCCAGCTTGTATTGACCACATAAAACTGAAGGTCCCCGTCTGCACCCTGAAGGATCCTGAGTATGAGCAGAACATTGCTGCTGTTATTCATGTGACGGTATTGCCCAGAGGGTCAACCAAGACTGGGGATTTAGCAGGCCCTTGTGGCCTGTGGATTTTATAAACTATGCAGAGAAAGATAAGCATGAGCCTATAGTCAATGTTAAAAGCAAGGGGGAGTAGTAGTAGATACACTGCAGGGTAGGGCTAGGATCCAGAGTGACCTAGACAAATTGGAGGATTGTGCCAAAAGAAATCTCACGAGGTTCAACAAGGACAAGTGCAAAGTCCTGCACTTAGGACGGAGCAATCCCATGCACCGGTGCAGCCTGGGGGTGATGGGCTGGGCAGCAGCTCTGCAGAAAAGGCCCTGGGGGGGACAGTGGACAATAAGGTGAATAGGAGCCAGCAGTGTGCCTTGCTGCCAAGAAGAGTAACAGTATACTGGGCTGCACTGGAA